ACAGTCACACCACAAGTCAGTCATCTCCAGGACCTGGCCTTGTGGGGGGTGCCCCCAGTCTCTCCCGAGCTAGCATGACCTAGTTCAGATCTTGAGAGCTGTGTGGGCTTGCGTGAGTGCTCGGCCTCTCTGAATAACTGAAGCGTTTCCTCCTGTGCCCAACGGAGGCCAAGGTGTTGTGACTATTACCTGCCGTCAGGTCAACCCAAGCTCACGCCCACCTCGTGAACCCAGAACACAATGTGGCCCAGACCTGTGCCACCCTGGCCTTGCTGGAGCCCCTCCGTGGGTCAGTCCACCTCACCGAGGGCTTCCCTCACGTGTGCTGACCCTCTGTTTGAACAAGCATGTTTTCTCCTGGTCACTGGTCTCTCCCGGTGCCGTAGACACGGTGAGTGAGTCAGCGGCATGCCGTCTTCTTAGTCTTTTGGCTGCGTTTCCACGAGCTGGAATCCAGGCTCCGGCCAGACCTGAAGCGAGAAGCTGTGGGGCTGTAGGGTGTGAGGTAGGGAGCTGAGGAGGAAGGGTGCCATTGGCCCTGCTCAGCAGGTTCTCCCTCCACTCCATGCAGGTTTGCATGTGTCCCGGGGCGCCACCTGAAGGGGGTGCCACCAAGCAGCTTCCGTTCACCATCCCCCTGAGCTCCGTCAGCCAATTAAAACCAATTCTCCCATGTTTACGATCCTGCAGGCTGGGCGACGTGCTCTGCGGTGCGTAGGAAGCATGATGCTGAGCCGGTCATAGACCAGCTCCCGCCAGTGGAAGCCAGCAGGTGCCCTGGTCATTTCCATGGCGGCTTTCCTGTGTCAGGTCAAAGATGAGCGAGCTCACCTTGTGGTTGGTTGTGAGCTGATTGTGTGGAAGAGCCTCAAGATGGGTGTCCAACGGTTTTCCAGGCACAACTTCCGTGCTTGTGTGGGCACTGTTTTTCCATAGATTGGCCTCCGTCCGCTCTGCACCTCATTCCTGGGAGCCCCCCTTTCCCACAGGCAGCGGGGGCTCAGAGAGATCCTAGGGCAGTGGTTCTCCACCTTCCTCAGGCCATGACCCTTTCATACAGCTCCTCATGTGGTGGTGACCCCCCAACCATAAAAT